AGTGAGCAGAAGAGGTAAACCGACGAGAAAGCAAACAGTCATCACTCCTCCTTCTACTCTCTCCCTCCCCAGAAGCAGGCCAGAAAGCTACAGTGGGGAAGCCACTGAGGATGCTCCCTGCACCCATGCAGGCATCCAGTATGCATGCATGCAGAGCCCCGAGCACATGCGCATCAAACCCTCCACAGCAACGCCTAGATCAGTTAGCCGCAACGCACAGGCTGCTTATTAGTTTGTGAAGGTTAGTCCATCTTATTCGCGTCAACGGCTTCCAACGACAAATCTCTTTCAGTAGAGATTTTCGTCACTTGTTTCTAAACAATAGCCACAAGCATGAGCATGCACGCATGCATGCATGCAAACAACACCCCTCCGAATCGTATCCACGCGCACACGCAGGCAAAAAGATTGCTTATGCTTGTTTCTGTTGTACAGCTGACGCAAAAGAATTGCTTAATGGATTCAGATGCGCAAGATGTCAAGCGCTGGCTGTAAACCCACAAGCTGAAACGAGCCAAACGCCAAAAAGACGGATACTAAATATTAATGAAGCCATAGGATGAAATATATTGCACGCGCGGAGCGACATCGCAACAGTTATGAATATGCACGCATACATACATACGTGTATATATATATATATATATATATGTATACGTGCGTGCATGTTTCCTTTAGCAAGTGTACGCATATATATAAATATGTACATATATATATATATATATAATCAGATAAAGGATAGTGCATCCTGCTTTGTCTGTGCAGTGCTGTTTGGTATGTCGGTTCCGAATAACAGCGAGACTCGCTCCAACACCGCTCTCCGCTTGAGTTTTGGGCTTGGATCTATGCATGCACGCCCTGAAGCCATAATCCGATGAATAGCAGCAGCGCACGTTCGAGGAAAGAAGGGCCCCAAAAAAGTTCGAAAAGGTTGCACCAAAAGAAGGGTGTAGGGTTGAAGATTGAGGGTTTGAGATGAACGTACCGTCTGGGGCGCGCATGCCGCATCCAAGGAGAAACCATTAGACCCTTTTCTTGGCTTTTCAACTATTTGAACAGCTAACAATAATACTGTTTCCCTTAACTGAAAACACTAGAAGACATTTTGAGGTATGCAAGTGCATAATTAAACGCTCCACCCATAAACTGTCGTGTGCAATACAAGACAGCACCTGTGAAAACAGGTTAATCGCGGGACTTTCTAGGGAGTGTAATTCAAGTTTAGCAGTTGAAGTTGGAAATTGAGACGTTTAGGGTTCAGGGATTCGGGTTTAGAAGGCCTTTAGTCTCGGGTCCATGTTACCTCTAAGCGTACGCGTCTAGACCTTAAGCTGAATGTGGTTGTTTGCAGACAGAAATGAATTCTCCAAGTGAAGAGAACAGAGGGTTTACGGTTTATGGTTTCGGATTCCTTGGATTCAATCGCTCGCTCAATACAGGGTCTCAGGCATTGAACTCAAGGCAGTTTTAATCTTCAGGGTTTATGGATTATGGAATGTGCTTTAGGGTCTAGGGTTTAGGGATTACGCGATATGCTGCAGGGTTCGGGTGTATGAGATATGCATAAGGGTGTGGGGAATAGCTCAAAAACGCTAGCGCAAAAGATTCAGGATTTAGGCTATTGTTTAGGTTAGCAGGTTTCATTGTAAATACGCAGCATAGGGATCGGGGTTTGCGGAGGAGGTTTAAGGCAGCAGGTTTTAGGGTTTCGTGTCTAGGGTTTAAGGTTTCGTGTCTAGGATGTGCGCTGGAGATTTCGTGCCGCAGGTTATAGGGTCTATGGTTTGCAGTTCCAGAATTTAGCCTGTAAGATTGCCGCGTCTGCGGCTCCTAGTGCTTAGGGTGTTCGGTTTCTGGCCTCGTTCTGTGGTGGAAATTTCAAGCTGCAGGTTTTAGGGTTTAGTGTTCCTGATTTACGGTTTACACAGTTATCGGGTTTTTGAGTCTTTTTAAGGGTTTTTATGGAGACTCTAAGCAACATCTAGGGTTATTAATGGTTTGTAAAGTGATTTTAAGGGTTTTAAAGGGTTGTCGAAGGCTGTTAATTCTTTGTAAGTTTTTGGTGTTTGTGGTTCGTACCGTCCTCCTGTTGATGACATTGGAGAAGAGTTTCGCCAGAACGGCAAAGGCGGCGACGGCGGCGACTGTAAGCATGAATCTCTGGTTTCTTCTTTGACGGTGGGCGCCGTGCGGTCTGTGGTCTGCTGCGTTGGGGTCAAGACTGGTGGTTTCAACTGCAGTAGGATTGGAAGGAGTGGCGATCGAAGGGCTTTCGTCGGGCACAGACTGGCAACTCGTCGAAACCACAAACAAAGAAAACAGAGCAAGAAGCGAAGAAACGGAAAAACACAAACAACGCAACGACCATCTTCTCCTCCCGCTGAGCCAGGGCCCAGCCGCAGCCTTAAACTTCATTTTCCTCGGTTTATCGAGGGAATCTTCATTCAAATCCAGGCTTATTTGAATCTCTACTACTCAAACAAAACCAGTCTTATATTATTTCAAGAAACAGACAAACCCTCCGTCGATACTGTCCACAGCGGGGGGCCCTGCACAGAGGCCCAGCAGCCCCTGGTGGTTTTGTGCTCAGCAGAAGAGTCTCACACCCCATGAACCCGCTGCAATCTGTTAAGTTAAACCGTCTCCTGAATAAAGTGTTCCTGATATTTGGATGCATTGCTAAAAACTTAAATTGCGTTTAAGAACACATTTTTGTTGAACGCACAAACATCGAAGGTCTGCCCCACCCCTGGTTGGGTCGCAGGCTGTTGAAGGAGCAGGGGGCCTTGAGGTTTTTCTCACCGTCTTTTCCCTATGATACGTTTATCCATGTGTTGCATTTATATTGTATATGTTGTTTAGATGCACTTTCGCCTTGTTCTGCACCTAATACCAGCTCTCAACGCGCCGTTGTGTCACCCGCCTGCCTCGTGTGCATGGGTATTCTCCTCTGGCTATATTTTCCTTATTTTTGCATCTTCTGCATTTCATGTAATTTCCACCTCCTTTCTGTGTGTTCGGTCTGCTGAAGGAGATAATGTTCAACCTCCTATAGCCACGGACGGCGGCAATGCCAGCACATAATTCTTTGCGTTTTCATCAAATGACCTTGCTAACATATATATAGTCTTGCGTACACCCAGTTGTAAACAAATACATAAATGTATTTAAGATGTGTGCTGTAGCCAGACAGCTTAAACTGTTTAAAAGTATATATACTTAAAAGTATATATACTTTTAAACAATTTAAGCTGTCTGGCTACAGCGCACAGCAAACCCCCCTTCAATTCTGCTGCGTTATAATCGCAGGGCAAGTCAACATTGGGGGCAACTGGGGTTCCACAGCTGTTGCCTCTCTACTTCTGCTGCTGCATCAGCTGCTGCTAGAGTTGCTTGCGCATCTCTTGTTGCTAGAGTTGCTTGCGCATCTCTTGTTGCCGTTGCTGCTAGTCTTAAGAGGCTGCAGCTTGTGTTGCTGCTTCTGGTATCGCTGGTGATGAGGCCGTGGGAGTTCTGTTGTTATTTCTCTGGCTGCAGTTAGTTTCCATCCGGTGATTTGCATCGGGGTAGATATAAAGATGCTTTTGTACACCACCGCAGGAACAGTGCTGCTGGTATGCTGCAGCAACAAGAAGCCTCGATGCAGCAGCGCGCAATTGGAAAATGACGAGGCAGTAAAAAGAACACGAATGAATGGAAGATGCACACAGAAAAGGCGCGCAACGCAGCGACGAGAAAGGGAAACAGAGAAACAGGAAAACAAATAAAACTGAGCGGGAGGGAATAGGCCAAAGAAAGAGAACAAAGCAAACGCACAGACAAATAAGACAAAAACCAAAACGAGTAACAAATCAAAATGCCGTGCGGGCCACAGGATAAACAAAGGGACTTGAACGAGATAAATGAACAAAGGAGACAAGCAATACTACATAAAGGCACAAGGGGGCTGTCTCGCACTACACGTACGCCTGATTGTTTTTAAAGCAGCAAAACGAAATAATCAGACGAAAGTCACATACATCCCAGTAACGTACACAAGCATGTCGCAGCAGCCGCAGCAACACCAGCTGTACCAGCAGCAGCAGTAGCAAGAACAGGTGGTGTTATGGTGCTGCTGCACTGCTCCTGGTGTGGTCCCTGCTGCTGCTGCCTCTGTTTTAAAAAAATGCAGAGTAATTCCCAATTGGGATATACAGATCTCTGGATGCTGGTATTTGGTGCGCATGAGTTTGTTCGTCGGCATTTCTTTGTGCAGCTCTGCCTCATTAGCGACAAGGAAAAGGAGTTTAAGGAGAATTTCACCTTCTAAGAGCAGCAGTAGCAACAGCAACAACAACAAAAACACAGCACCACCAAAAGCACATCTGCTGCTGATGGTCTGCCGCTGCAGCAGCAGCAACAGCAGCAAGCAAGCAAGCCACTGAAAAACCGCCAGACAAACAAACTAGAGTATACACCAAAATACAAACAATAGAAACAGTGTAGAAAATAAATTCAAAAGTTGTTTCCCCCTTGGGCCCAAAACTCGTCCAAGCAAAACTAAATAACAAAGAAGCGCAAGAAATAAACGAATAGTAAAAAGAAATATCCCACTCCAGGCAGCGCTGCAGCATCTATTCGTTTGGCTGGGTTTTGCTGCTGCTGCAGCAGCAGGCAGCAGCAGCAACAGCCTTTGTTCATCTCTGTTCAACTCGTTGCTGCTGCTGGTGCTGTGGTTGCTGCTTTTGCTGCGCGGTGCTGCGACACCTGCTGCTTCGTAGCCTTGGAGGCAGCAGCTCTTGTTGCTATTCTTAAAACCAAGCAGGCTGCACCAGTCACAGTGAAAAACAAGTGGTATTTATTAACTTCGTCCCGCATCTGAATGCCACCATTCGGCTGCTGCTGCATTTGCTGCTGCAGCTGTTGCTGCAGTTACTGCAGTTACTGATGCTGTTGGTGCTGTGCTAATCCAGGAGGGGCAGTTATTGCAGCGGTTGCTGTCGCTATTGCTGCTGCAGTCGCTAACGCACTTGCTGCTGTTGCTGTCGCTGCCTGTTGGGTCTGCGAATGAGGAAAGCGTTGTGCCCATCTACTGCAACGGCAAACCCTCCCCCAACATCAACATGCCAGCTGTTGTTGCTGCTGCTGCTGCGCCTGCTGCTGCTGCTGCTTCTGCTGCTGCTGTTCTTTAGCGCTGCTGCTGCTGCAAGGCGGCCTGAGAGAAGCTGGATCGTTTTGTGCTGCAGCTCGCCTCCGCCCATTCCCCTTTGCAGCCAACGATGCAGCAAGTGCAGCTGAATGAACTCCGATTTAACTTCGGCCCACACGGTTAGGGGGAGCTCCTCCTGTTGCTGTTGATGCTGCTGCTTAGGCTGCTGCTGTTGCTGCTGCTGCTGCGGCTGCATGGCAGTGCGTTTAGAATGCGGTACTTCTGCTTTTCCTGTTGCGGCTGAGGCTCCATCGGTCGCCGCTGTTGGAGCACCTTGATGGCCTGATTCAGAAGTTTCACTGCTAGCAGCACTAGCAGGAGCAGCAGCAGCAGTAGCAGCAGCAGCAGCAGGAGCAGCGGTGCAACCGAGGTGAGCACGTTCCCAAGCGGAGGCCTCCTGGTTTATGTGTCTCTTTAGCAGCAGCACTTGGCTGTGCAGTAGCTGCAAACGACGACGCAGAGCTGCAACATGGGCGCCTGCCACTTCAGCAGCAGCAGCTGGTGTTGCTGCTGTTGGTGTTCCCCTTTTTGTTGAAGATGACGGCGTGCTTGCTGCTGCACTCTCTGCTGCTGCAGCATCCGCAGCAGCCCCCAAAGGAGTTGGCAGCAAGCCAGTGGCGGCATTGGGTGCCTCTACAAGGTCTGCAGCAACAGCAGCAGGTCCTTCGCTTTGCTTCTCTTCCTGCTGCTCCTGCTGCTGGTCCCGCTGCTGCTGCTGCGTGAAGCTAACAAGGGCCGGTAGCACAGCAGACCTAAATGCGTTGCGGAGGTACTTTGGACTTCCGTTCGAAGAGTCTTCACTCCAAACACTGCCCAAAGCCTGCAGCAGCACCAGCAACAGCAGTACCAGCAGCAGCAGCAACCAGAAGCAGTAGCAGCAGCAACAGCACCAGCGACACCAGGGGAATAGCAGAAATACTAGAAGCAGCAGTAGCAACACCAGCAGCAGCAATATCAACAGTAGCTGCAGCAGTAGTAGCAGCGGCAGTTGCAGCAGTAGAACTGGCAGCAGCAGCATCAGCAACAACAGTCCCAGCAACAGCACTTTGAATGGCAGCAGCAGCAAGTTACAACAGAAGCAAAGATCAGTCTCCCTCGCAGTTCACAGCAGGACACGCTACAAGCAGCAGCCGCAGCAGCAGCAGCAGCACCGGCACCAGCAGCAGCACCAGCAGCAGCGGCTGGCAGTAACTCACCTTAAGGTAGGAACGCAGCGTTTCCTTCGGAAGATCCAGGAATGGCCTCCCTATAGCTAGCTGGTTCTGGCTAGCTAGCTGCTGCAGGCCAGCTAGTTCCTGCTGGCAAGCTACGTGGTGGAATGCATCATCTGCTGTAAGGGCGGACAGGGGTTCCATTCCACTGCAACGCACAAACCCAAGCAGCAGCACCAGAAGCAGCAGCACCACGTCCACGCGTAAGCAACGCGCTGCAGCACTGAAGCAGCAGCAAGGCCACCTCTGCGCCAATCACTAGCCCCAGCATGACAGGCTACAGCCGCAGTGGCATCAGCAGCAGCAGCAGAACCGCCTACTGAAGGTTGAGGACGTTAACTCCCCTGAGGAGTTTTAAAAAAATCGTCTCCAACTGATCGTCCGCATGATGCCCAGTCAACAGGTATCCCCGATGCTGCTGCTGTTGCTGCTGCTGCTGCTGCTGCTGATGGATGATCTTAGTCAGTAGCGCTGCAGCCTCGACTCGGCGCCAGTTGCGCATGAGCTGCTGCGGCGACCCTTTGCTGCTGCGTTTGCTGTTGGCCTGCTGCTGCTGCTGCTTTTTGCATGCGCTTAGAAGGCTGTCTGGGAGCTGCCTGCAGTGCAGCGGAATCCCGTAGGCGCGGCATGCTGCTGCTATTTGCTGCTGCTCTTTCCTTGCTTCTCTGGGGCGTAGCCGATGGTCAAAGTACACCGCAGCAACCATCGCCCCCATGCCGTTCACCTGCATGCAAGCTGCCATTCCGGTGCTGCTGCTGCGGTTGCCGCTGGTGGTGGTGTTGCTGCTGCTGTTGTTGATGCTACTGCTCGGCGCGTGGTTACTCACACCCGTTCCTTCTGCAATGCTGTCTAATCCATATCTATCCTGTCGTTGCTGCCGCTGTTTATGCTGTTCTTTCTGCTGCACCGCTTGCTCAAAGCTGCAGGCAGCAGCAGCAGCAGCAACGGCGCGCGGAGTAGCAGCGCTGAGGCCAAGCCCACGTGCAACTGCATGCAGAAGAGCTGTGCTGTCTGAGCCCCCGCTGCAACTTAGCAGTAAGACAGGCAGTTGTTGCTGCTGTCGTGTTTTTGCTGCTGCTGCTGTTGCCTGTGTCGCTGCTGCTGCAGTGGTCCAAGCAGACTCCACGCAGCCATCCGAATGCTGCTGCTGCAGCACGCGCAGCAAAAAAGAGGCAGCGGCAGCATCAACGGTTTCTACAGCAGCATTACTATTGTCGACAGGTGCGTCGGCAGGAGAAATAGGAGGAGCAGCAGCAAGAGCAGTAGTAGCAGCAGCACCACGAGCAGCAGCAGCAAGGCGTGGGTTGTACAGACGGTGTCCTGTTGAATTGTTATTCGCAATGCTACCCTGACAATAGATATGCCTGCCTGATGTTGCTGCTGCTGTTCCTGCCAATGCTGTTGCTGTTGCCGGGTTTCCTACTGCTGCCCCTCCGGTACGTGCTGCCGCTGCTGCTGGGTTTCCTGCTGCTGTTGCTGCTGTTGCAGCGTGAGCAGACAAAGGGGCGCTCCCCCTCTGAAGGCAGAGAAAGCCGCATGGCGGCACTAGAGGCGTGCCTGCTGCTGCATGCTGAAGATGGAGCAGCAGCAGCTGCAGCAGTAGGAGCTGCTGCAGGAGCAGCAGCAGGACGCAAGGGTCCTGCTGCCGCGGTGGGCGGCTGCCGGCTGTCTTGCAATTGAAACAAACCCTCAAGCCAAACATGTACATAAAAGTGGAGAGCAGCTCAGCAGCCCTGCTGCAGCTGCTGGTCTTGCTGCACCGACCTGCTCGTGCTGCTGTCCGTCAATAAGGCATTATCTACACAATAAATATACTTAAAAATAACTCCAAAATCTTTTAAATTAGAAGATACCAGACAGACAAGGCCAACAGACCAGCACGAAGGGGGCTTGTACGGTTGAGGGGTTGTGTTCTTAACAGGCTTTGTATAGGATCCACACACGAATGTATATGTTTAGCATAAACAGCTTCAAATATATAAATATATAACTATACACGGGTTTTTAAGTAAAGCAAATACCTTTAAATATACAAGTGTATCTCAATGTATGGGGGTACATAACAAGCCGAGCCCAAGTATGCAAATCCGTACGCCTCGATGTTGTATAGAACAAAAACAACCCCAAAGAAGCAAATATATATGGTTTTGAATAGGGGAGCATAGCAAAAATAGCTGTAAATGAATATATATATGTATATATAGATTATGTGCGTTGAGGTATGTGTCTGCGTTGAACTATAGATAGGGCGAAAACCAGAAGATTTCCACAGACATCCGACAAAGATCTCTCTCAAGTTCGTATTTGTTTACACTTCTACTTGGGTCCACGTTTGCCACAGAGGGCGAAGTAAGAGTCATTAAATGTTGCCGACGGTGTCTATACTATGTTCTCCCCGATGTTGATATTTGAATACTTCCGCGAGTTTTGTTGGCAGCGCGCACCCAGAAGCAGCAGAAGCACAACAGTGGTTTGCAGTGTGCGTGCAGATAGAAAAATGGGGTTTGCCTGTGCTTGAATGTGAAGGTTCCTTGCAGCAATAGTTGCAGCTCCGTGCGTTGCATCTCTTCTCAAGGCGCTTGCTCTCCCCCATCCCCAAGCCCTCGTGCCGTTCTATCCAGAACATCTCGGAAAGGCAGAGGGAGTTATCTTCATCTAGGTGGAAGTTAAGTGTGCGATCTCACGGCAGGCCGAAGTTATTTGAGCACTTCTGCGCTGATCCAAGTACGAAACACTGAACTGGAATCTTCATTTGTACTGGACAAGCTGTAAAGTTAAACTGATATCTGAGACGAAGAGAAGATCGTGCAACCCGACTGACTGTTCGTAGGCGAAGCCTCCAAGTTTACTCTTCATCGATAAAAGGCATAACACGGCAATTGGTATTGCTGTGATCGTGAAATGAAAGCTTTATTCAGAAGGGGGTTAAAGCTGATACGGTAGTTCGGTTGGAACAGTTCACCACTGCATAATCCTATGCTGCGATGGAGCACTCAGGGAAGGGCGCCAGTGAGGCCCCCAGATAACAGTTTTAAGGTGTATGCGCCGGGGAGCAACGAGAGACTGCACCTCCCAGCCCTGCCAACAACATGTTCAGCCTTCATGACAAGAGGAATGCGCTGAGCTTCCCAAGGAAGGGTAGAGCGAGAGGGTTGCAATGCGTAGAAGCGACGCAGGGGACGATGGAGATATGCGTGCACTCCGTTCTGGCTAGCTCGCCAAAACAGCAATTTAGGGAGGGTGGGTCCCGTGTACACCGGAGAACTCTCAGAGGCTTGAACTAGCAAGGAGCTTCCTGAGGGCCATCCTTGCACTAGATGCCCGATTCACCGCGTCGAACTCACTCCGGGTGCAGCACCGAACTTTATTCCATGGCAGTGGCAAACCCCATATCTTGCAAAATAATTTGACCGGGAGGTGAATGAACAATGGGCAACGCTCAATGGTCAACTAGCGAGTGTCGAGCCAACAGGTTCTGACGACGCAAAGGAACTGGAGATGGAGCTTCTATATTAATTAATGCATTACCAACGGTGAGGTGAAGCTAGGCCTGGTTGGGGAAGGATGCGTCTCCTCTATGTTGCAACACTTCTGGCTTCAGCTTCTACACCGAGCTAGCCCCAAGCAGAAGCATACTAATGCGCCATTTCAGCGGTTGCACCGACACCCGAGAGACTTGCTTAACATTTGCATGAACATCAGTAGCTGCTGTCAAGTAGAAACGCATGCACAAAGCATAGACAGACCATACTACACCAGCCCCGATCCTTCTCCGTCCCCGTACAGAGCATCTCTTGGCATGCCTGACTGCCTGCTTGCACAGAGGTAGGGGAGGGATATTGCCGGAGGGGACAGAGTTTCGAACAAAGAAAAGAAAGGAAAAAGTGAATAAGGGAGCGGTGGGCAGGGCTTTTGCAGGTGCTATTTTTTATGATGCTTCGACTACGGACCCGCACCTTGCTGCGGGTTCCGTGCTCACTGACGTGGCCACTCCTCAGCAAAGCGTTAAACGCGTGCCGCCTGACCTTACCTTAATGCCACCTGAACGCTGACGTCCCAACCAAGAAAAACGTTGGTGACCGACTACCTCTCGCTGGGGGCCTAACCCGAAATACAAAGGCATATATATATATATATATATGTATATATATATATACATATATATATGCACATGCAAATTTTCATCTATCTGCATATTTATAAATAAACTGCATGCAGCTCAGTCGGTGTAGGTGGAGGTGCGCCTGCGCTAGCTGTACCTATAAATTTAGTGGGACGTAGGGGAAGGCACGGACAGCAGAATATAACAAACGGACCAAAGCAGCAGCAGCATCAGTAGCTGCATCCGCACCAGGCTCACACTCAAACGCTGCTTTTGCTCAGAATCCAAGGGTAGAAAAGTAACAGGCTGCTACTACCACCATCGTCGCTGCTACTGCTGTTGCTGTTGCTGTTGCTGCTGCACTTGACATCTCGTTGCTGTCCCCTCATAGCAGCAACGAAATACGGTTGAGACTCTATCTCCACCAGCATGAGCAGCAACTGCAAGAACAACAGTAACAGCAGCAATAGAAACAACAGCAAATGCAACAGCAACAACGGCTACCCCAACAGCACCAACAGCAGCAGCAACAGCAACACCAACAACTGTACAACTGCAGGAGACATTGGAAGAGCATGAAAGCCCCACATAGACACAATACCACGGCACGAGAAGGCAGCAAAGTCCGAAGAAGTGCTGCACCAGCAACACACCCGCGGCAGCTGCTGCAGTTGCTGCTGCAACAACAACAGTAGCAGCAGCACTCGCAACAGCAACACTAGCGACACTGTCTACAAACCCATGTGGTTCTAAGCTAGCCCCTGCGGCGTTATGAACGTGTCACCTGCCTTGCTGCTGTTGCTGCTGCTGCCGTGGCAGCTGCTTCTGCTGCAGCGGCAACTTTAGAAGTTAAGAAGAGGATGCCACTGTAGCAGCAACATAGGGTACAGCAAGAAGCCAGTTGCAGTCGCAGCAGCAGCAGCAACAACATCAACAGGTGAAGTACGATGAGGAGGAGCAGCAGCAGGTGACCCTTGTGGGATGACACACTCCGCGTCACGACAGCAGCAGCAGCAGCAGCAGCAACAGAAGCAGCAGCAGCAGAGCACATCGCCGAATATTTTTTTAGCAAAGGCCGCACAGAGACGAAGTTAACAAACTTTTAGCAGCGGCAGCAGCAGCAGCACAGCAGCAGCAGCGACCACGGACGGGGGAGGTCAGCAGCAGCCGCTGCTGCCGCAGCAGCAGCAGCAGCAGCTGCAAGACCTCTGCAGCAGCAGCAGCAGTCTTATCTTGGGAATTCCCCAAAGTAGCAACATGATTCACTCTAGAGAAAGCAACAAATGCTAGAAATAAGCATTAAGTTAATAACCAGGGCTTCTGTGCAGCAGTAGCAGCAGCAGCAGCAGCAACAACGGCAAAAACAACAGCAACAGCAGCAGCAGTCCGTTAGCTTCCCGCGCTTATTGAATAAATCTTCGAAATACTTCTCTCAAGAAGCACGACGGAGGCACACATACTCCTTTAGCATCAGTGACAGCCTGTCAACAGCAGCAGCAGCAGCAGCAGCAACAGCAGCAACAGCAGCAGCAACAGCATGAGCAGCTGCCACGGCAGGACAGTCACAGGCCAGACTACCTCTAGCAATTCGTAGCCTGTGGCACGTGCTCCTGCTGCAGCAGCTGCTGCAGCAGCAGTCCTGAAGGAGCAGCAGCAGCAGCAGCAGCAACGGCGGCGGCGGCGGCGGCAGCAGCAGTGGCAGCGGCAACAGCAGCGGCAGCAGCGGCAGCAGCAGCGGCAGTAGCGGCAGTAACAGTGGAGGCGGTCTTGCTGCTGTACGGCGCAACATACCAGGATCAGCAACGACAGCATGAGCAGTGGTAGCAGCGGGAGCAGCAAGGGCAGCAGCAGCAGCAGCAGCAGCAGCAGCACCAGCACCAGCATGAGCAGCAACGACGAATAATGGTCTCGTCAACAGACAGCCCGACCTCCTCCCCTGTGAGGCGGACTGAAAGGTAGGCTTGGAATGGCACTCACGATCGCGCACAAGCAGCAGCAGTAGCAGCAGCAGCCGCAACAGCAGCGGCTAGTGTTAGAAGCAGCAGCAGCAGAAACGGCAGTATAACCGTGCTTTTGCTGTGGTGTGATGTTTGCTGCCGATCAGACGGGGGCCTGATGCTGCAGCAGCAACGACAGCAGCAGATGATGAAGATTTGCATGCAGCGCTGCTGCGGCTGCCGCAGCACCTGCTGCTGTCTACAGGGATACGAGAAGCAGTGCTGCAGCCAGGTGTCGCTCCAGAATCTCTTGTTCGCAGGCATACCACAGCGTGCGACTGCAGCAGCAACAGCGGCTGCAGCAACAGCAGCAACTGCTGCGCTTGTATTGCACTCAACGGGGCCTTTGCTGCAAGACACTCTCTGCGCGGCCCAGCAGCTGCTGCCATCAGCTGCAGCAGGGAACCCCACAAAAAATCGTCTTATCATCAAAATAGCAACAGCAGCAGCAGCAGCAGCAGACGCCTCAGTGGCTCCCCTAAGGGAGGAATGAAGGGGGGACCAGGAACAGCAGCAGCGTGCCCAGCAGCAGCAGTGAAGCCGCCGGCATGCGTTAGTGCTGTGCTGCAGCAGGAGAGTTCGCTGCAGTTGCTGCTGCAGCAGATGCAGCACTCCCCAGAGGCAGCAGCAGCAGCAGCAGAAAGAGAATCAGGGGCCCTCTCTGCCTATTGCGTTTACTGTGCTGGCCATTTGCTTATTCCAGGCTCTCTTAAGCTCGAGAAGGACAGACTTGTATTCAGGGAAGGTCTGCTGCTGTTGCTGCTGCTGCTGCTGCTGTTGCTGCTGGCTTTTTTGTTGCTGTTGTTGCTGCTGGCTTTTTTGTTGCTGTTGTTGCTGCTGCTGTTGCTGCTGTTCTGCGGCTGCAGCCGACTCTCCCGCTGCGGATTTCTTCACACTTGCTCACTTCTGTTGCTGCGTTTCCTGCTGTTGCTGCTGCTGCTGCTGCTGTTGCTGTTCCAGGTCCCCCTACGGACGGGGAGGGTGAGGCGTTGACGAAGGGAGGGCAGATTCCTGAGGTGTATATACACCTGCGCGACATCTTGGAATGTGCATGCGTTATGGCTCCTCCTCTTGATGACCTTGTGGCTTCTTCTGCATTTGCTGCAGCAGCAGCAGAAGCAGCAACAGCAGCAGCAAAGCGCAGCAACACCGTCGCAACCTGCAGCTACCTCGATGCTGATGCAGAACCGCCCTCCTATCTTCAGCTGCTGCTGCGGACGCTTGGTGCTGAGCACCAGTCACCCCCTTCCGATCAGCAACAACAGCAGCAGCAGCAGCAGCAGCAGCAGCACCAGCCCCAGCAGCGGAGGGGGAGAAAGGCTGAGTCGCGTGCAGCAGCAGCAGCAGCAGCAGCAACAGCAGAGACAGGGTCTGTTCTATCAACTCCGCGTGATTGCCCTATTGCAGCAGCGGGAGACGAGATCCCCACGGGCTCTGCTGCTGCTGCTGCGGCTGCTGCTGCTGCACAGCAGCAGCAGCACCAGAAACTGTCTCCTCAGAGAAGGGGATCTATTGGAGAGTGGTTGAAGGCGTGGAGACACTCTAGCCCTCATGAGGCCCCTCGCTCGCCAGAGCTCAAGCAGCAGCAGCAGCCGCAGCAGCAGGAACAGCACCTGTCTCCAGTAAAGGTGCAGCAGACGGCTCCTGCAGAGTAAGCAGCAGCAGCAGCAACGACCGTGACCCGATTGCTGTGGAGGGTTTGTTTGCCTTCCAGGGTTTAGGGTTTAGGGTTTAATGTCTACGGTTTGTGCTGCAGGCGGCGACGCAGCAGCAGCGGCAGCAGCAACTTTGCGAGTGCAGCAGACAACCGGCGGCTGTTTGTTCTTTTTGGGTTTTTAAGTCGTGCAGAGGCAAATGCATTCACAAGACAACTGATTGAAAAGGTAGACGCATGGGTGAGTGTGTCATCTGCTGCTGCTGCTGCTGCTGCTGCTGATTGTGCTTGGGGTGGTGGTGATGCTCCTGCTGGTGATGAATAGGCTGCTGCTGCCGATGCTGCTTTTGGTGCTGATGCCGCTGCTGATGGTGCTTGTGCTGCTGCTGCTGCTGCTGCTTCCATTGTGCATGTCAGTGCTGCTGTTGATGCCTTTGCTACCGCGGCTGCTGCTACTGCTGCTGCGCTGCTCCTGGGGCGAGGACGCCTATTGAAGACGCAACTACAGCTGCCTCCCGAACAAGCAGCAGCATCAGCAGCAGCAGCAGCAGCAGCATGACTATACTTGTGTGTTGCGAATACGCAGAAAACAGACGAGGAAAAGGAAGATGAGGAGGAGGAGGAGGAGGAGGAGGAGGAGCAGCAGCAGCAGCAGCAGAAGGCCCTCCGTCGCTGCAATCGCAGCTCAACGATGGTGCCCTGCTCTTCAAGTGCGGTTTAGGGTTTGGGGGGTTTAGGGTTGAGGCTCTAGGGTTTAGAGTTTGAAGCCTAGGGTTTAGGGTTTAGGGTTTAGGGTTTGTGTGATGTGGTTTAGATGCGGTTGTAAACGCTTGGGAAGAGGCTCTAGATCGCTCAGCGGAGATGTCGCTGCTGCAGGCCAAATCGTAAACCCTAAACCCTAAACCCTAAACCCCAGCTAACCTTGCGCATGGGAGTTTTGTTGCTGCTCCGTTCGTGCGGGGTGTGGGTATTGCAGCGGGTTTAGGTTTTAGGGGTTTAGGGTTTAGGGTTTGTATGCGTTGCAGCTCAACGCCTTACGGCAGCTGGAATTTCGGGGACGAGGACGCGCAGCAGCAGCAGCAGCAGCTGCCGCAGGAGCATATGGATTTATGGTTAGAAGAAGGTGCAGCAGCAGCAGTTGCACCTCCGCAGCAAGAAGAGATGCGAGACCCTCGCTGCTTCTCTTTGGGGATTGCTGAAGGTGCTGCTGCTCCTATTCTGGATCGGCCTCCGGGTGCAGCAGACTTTGTTACACCGCATATTGCTGCACAGGTCATTTGCTGCTGCTGCTGCTGTTGCTGCTGCTGCCGCTATTGTTGCTGTTGCTGCTGCTTCTGTTGCTGCTGCTGCTTTTGCTTCTGCTGCTGCTGCTGCTGCTGCTGATTCCGCCGTTGCTGCTGCTGCTGCTACTGGTATTACTGCTGCATTACTGTAGTGCTGCTGCGGCTGCTGCTGAGGTTCCTGCCAGCCTGCGGTTTGGTGCTGCAGCAACAGCGCCTGCTGTGTGCGGTAGTTGTTTTTGCTGCTGCTTTTGCTGCTTTTGCTGCTGCTGCTGCTGAGGGTTTGCTGGAGTTAGGCGTTGAGGTGTATGCACAGATTTGCATGCACTTGCCACTGATGCTGTCCCTTAAACGATGGGAACTCGGATTCTGTCTCAAGCTTCACGGTGTCTCCTTTCAAACGTAATCTGCTGCTGCTGCTGCTGCCTTTGCTGCTGCTGCTGCTTCTGCTGCTGCTCTTGTTGCTGCTTCCGATGCAGCTGATTTTGCTGCTCCAACAGTTGGATTTGCTGCTGCTGCTTTTGCAGCTGGGTGTTCTGCTGCTTGTGCTTCTTGCGGGTTCTGTTGCTGCTGCTGTTGCTGCTGCTCTTGCTCTGCCGTGTACATGAAGCAGCCAGCCGTTCCTGCTTCCTATGGGGGTCGCACCCTCAGCTGTAATATCTGTCAGGTACTGTGCTGCTGTTGCAACTGCTGCTGCTGCTGCTGCTGCTGCAGGTTTTTTAGGCGTGTATCTCACTCTGGTGGTTGTATAATTGCGGTTGAAGATTCAAAAGGAGTTGTCTTTGGTGCATTTACTGAAGAATTTCACAAGTCCTACAAATACTACGGATCGGGTACGTACACCCGAAAACCCTAAACCCTAAACCCTTAACCCTAAACCCTAAAGAGCCCTGCGATAACGCTGCGTGCCCACTTCAGGAGGCACCAAGGTTTAGGGTTTAGGGTTTAGGGTTTAGGGTTTGTGCGCAGCCGACACTTTCGTTTTCACTTTTAAGGGCCCTGACGGGAAGCAGCCCGCGGAGAATCCCGTAAGCCTCCTGTGATTAGGGTTTAGGGTTTAGGGTTTAGGAATCCATGTCTGTTGTGTGTTGCATATGTTTTTCCTTCAATTCTTTTTCATTTATAGGGTTTGTATTCTTGCTAGCTCTTCGTGGTATCGTCCCCGTTTGGGCATTTAGGGTTTAGGGTTTAGGGTTTGAGCGTATGTTCAGACGATCCACGTATACACCTGGAGCAGCAGCAACGCTTTCTTTTGTTTTACTGATGGCGAGATGATTGCAGTTGGTGGTGGAGGACATTTTGCTTTAACTATTGATGGAGATTTCTTAAGAGGAAGCTCTCAGTGTTGCAGCACTTTCAACTCACCTCCTCTTGCTTCTTCTCCAGACTTTCTTCTTAAAAATCTACAGGTAAGCATGCGATGAATTATATGATTATCTTTGTTCTTATCCTTGGTGGTTTGTTTGTATATTTATATATATATATATATATATATATATATATATTATATAGGTATATCTTTTTTTGATTGCCTGTTTATTTATTTGTAGGGCGATAAATACAAATAAATGAATAAATGTGTATATATATATAATTCTTATATATGTAATTTATATATATATATATATATACATTTATTTATTTATTTGCATTTGGTTGGTTGTTTACTTATCTCTGTGTAATATAATTTATTCGTTTTGTACTTGTGTCTTGTATTTGTTTGTATTTGCACTTTGTGTTTTATCTTTTTTCTACGTTTTGTTGTTTATTTTCATTTTTTATTTTCATTTATACTGGTGTTTGCATTTATAGTTTGTATTTACATTTATTTATAAGAGACAGAGTTCGTGGGTCACTTAGCGGGTAAGGGTTTAGGGTTTAGGGTTTACGGGGTAAGGAGAGAGGATTGAGGGTATAAGGGTTTGGGGGAGAGGGTTAAGGAGAGAGGGTTTATGATTTAGGGCTTGGGCGAGGGTTTAGGGTTTAGGGTTTAGGAAAGCCCGCAGCACGGAGGGAATGAGGTGGGCGAAGGCTTTGTTCTGATGCTGCTGCTGCTGTTGCAGGTTTGGTTGCTGCATGATTAAGACACAGCTGCTGCTGTTGTGCTGCAGCAGCGCAGCTAAGTTTGCTTGTTTAATTGCTGCTGCTGCTGCTGCTGTCACGCAACAGCAGCAGCAGAAGAAGCGGCAGCAGCAGCAGCACGATTGCTGATTTCGTCTGCTTCCCACATGCTGCTGCTTGCAGCAGCAGAAACAGCAGCAGCGGCACGGGCTGCTGCACCACACTGCAGCAGCAGCAGCAGCAGCACGCAACAACAGCTTCAGCTGCTGCGTCTGCTGCTGGATGCATGCGAACTCGCAGCTGCAGCAAAACTGCTAATTAATTATTTTTCTGCATGCGACTGAAAAAACGAGGTGTACGTACACCACGAAGTGGACCTACGCCGCCTGTACAGTATGCATATAAATTATATATATTATACGTATGAATATACACATAAACATAAATATCTATATCTATACCTATAAATATATGAATATATATGTAGGGCTGTTCAGAGGCGCACGAACGGCGAACCGTATATATATATATATATATATATATATATACGTATGTATATATATATATATATATATATATATATATATATATTTGTCAGTTTGCGGTTATCCCAGCACGGCTTCAGGATAGAGTTGTAGAGGGTCTACTGAGGGGTTTGCTGCTCGCTGCATACTAGCGACGTACCCATACCCTAAACCCTAAACCCTAGACCCTAAACCCTAGACTTTACACTGGTTGGTTGTGGTGTATATGGGCGGACAAAGTTTGCGGTGTATGTACACCTGGCGTTGTCTGATGCATTTTTCTTAATTCGTTTTTTCTGCTTCCTTCCTTTACTTCAGTAGCAGCAGCAAAGAGAAGAAGCAACAGAAATATATTTATTATATATAGGTATATATAGATATATATTACATAATGTAATATATATATATATATATATATAGATTTAATACATATATACAATGCATATATATTACAGACATACAATAAAATACGTATATTATATATAATATTTATATATTGCTTGGGGTTCATTTCTTTAGTGAGGTGTACATACACCTCAGCTATACTTTATCAAGTAGTGCTACGCTGGATGTTTGCTATAGTGTACGTACACCGCACACTCTGCTGCTGCAGCTGCTGCTGCTGCTGGAGCCACTGCTGCTGCTGCTACTGCTGCTGCTGCTCCTTCTGCTGCTACTGCTGCTGCTAGAGCTACTGCTGCTGCTGCTGCAGCTGCTGCTGCAGCAGGGGGACTTCCTTGCTGCATGCATTTTATGCACGTGTTTCTGTTTCTATCGCTTTTTTTTGTTTTTCTTCTTCCGCCTTCGTCGCTTCCTAGAAAAAGAACAAACAAAGCAAATAAAAATAGATAAATAATTACAACAAGTAAATAATAAAGTGTATTAAAAAACAAATAATGAAATGCATCAAACAAAAAACAATCTTAAAAGGCAAATTAAACAAACACAACAAATCAAACAAATCAAACACAAAACAAAAAGACAGATAGAAAAGAAAAAACCCTAAACCCTCGACTCTAAACACTTAACCCTAAACCCTAAACCCTAAACCCTAAAACCCTAAGCCCTTACCTTCTCTTTCATTTCCGCATCTCTTTTGTTTTGAATTTTGTTGTCAATCAAATTGTGCAGCGCCAGCACCGACCGAACCACGCTTGCTGCAATACAAACCCTAAACCCTAAACCCTAAACCCTCAGCCTTTCCTCCCTCTAAGCGTCACAGCTGAAGCCCAAAAGCCAAACCCTAAACCCTAAACATTCAGCAATGGAAGAAACACTAAGCAGCAGGAAGCGCGCCTTTCCACAGGCCGCAACCCTAAACCCTAAACCCTAAACCCTAAACCCTAAACCCCAAACCCTAATTACCCAGATACAACGTCATCATGCTGTCGTTGGTTTGCGTCGCAAATGCCTTCAGCAATTCGGGGCGTGCGGTGTCTGGCAGCAAGTTGAAGATCTCCTGCAACAGAAAACCCTAAACCCTAAACCCTAAACCCTGAACCCTAAACCCTACGCCCTAAGCAAGGGCTGTGCTGCTACTGTTGTCGCTATTGATTACAGAATAGCTCGATTTATATATTTAAAAATTATTTATTATTCCTCTTTGTTTATTTATCTGTCTGTCTATTTGTATAGTTGTCTGTTTCTGTTATTCTTGCTTGCTTTACTCATACGTCTTTGCATTTATTCGTTTATCTACTCATTTATTTACTTTTATTTATTTATTTATATGCTATCCAGCAGCAGCCGCAGCAGCATAGCCAGCAGCAGCAGCAGCATAACCAGCAGTAGCAGCATAACCAGCAGCAGCAGCATAAGCAACAGTAGCAGCAGCAGCACAAGCAGCAGCAGCACAAGCAGCAGCAGCATGAGGAAGCAGAGTGAAGCAAACCTGCACATGATATATGATGCTGGCGTTGCCTTTAATATTGCCTTCTGCTACATCACTCAAATATTCAGCAATCAGACGAAGACGACGCGCCAACATCTTCAGCGTCTCCAGCTGATCTCCAACCTGCAGCAGCAGCAGCAGCAGCAACAGCAGTAGCAGCAGTAGCAGTAGCAGCAGTAGTAGCAGCAGCAACAGAGTAGCAGGACTTGTAGCAGGTCTTGAAAGCAAGTAAACAATATAGATAAGCGAATACAAATAAATGGATAAATAAATAAATTATATAAGCAAAATAAAGCAAACAAACAAACACAATAAACAAACAAACAAAATACACACAAAACAAATATTAACAAATAAAGGAGCAATCAGCACCGGCAATGCAAACAAACAACAGCTGCACCACGACAGCCTATATATATATATATATATATATATATTATATACCCAGCAGCAGCAGCAGCAGCAACAGCAGCAGCAGCACTGTTTACCTTGGTTGCCAGTGTGGAGGTGGATGCATTTTTTGTGTCTCGCAGCAAATGCTCAACGCCAACTTCCTCAGCCTCATACGCCCCTGCAGCAGCAGCAGCAGCAGCAGCAGCAGCAGCAGCAGCAAGAGCAGCAGCACTCATCAGCAGCAGCTGGAGTACCAGAAGAAATCCTGCTGCACCTTCTCAATGTGCTGCTGCTGCTGCTGCAGGTGGCAGTTCGGCAGCAGCAGCAACAGCAGCAGCAACAGCAGCAGCAGAAGGATATTAAATTGGGGTGTATGCTCACCTATTGTGCATGCAACATAAACGAAAGATTTTCGAAACGCCTTGGATGCCGTCGGCTCCTCAATTGCGCAGTACGCCTTTGCTGGCACTACCATGTCCTGCATCCAAACCCTAAACCCTAAACCCTAAACCCTAAACCCCAAACCCTGGAAAAGCACCGTAGCACCCTGAGAAGAGACAACCATCCTGTGAGACAGCTAGTTAGCTAGCTAACTGCTAGCTAGCTACTGTCCCTGCGGCTGTCTAGCAGCTATCTAGCACATAGCTAGCAGCTAGCTGACAGCTAGCAGCTAGCTGACAGCTAGCAGCTAGCTAGCTATGACAACACTCCTGGTTGCGCCAACCCCCCTACTAGGTAGCTAGCTAGGCAGGTAGGTAGCTAGCTAGCCTCCCAGCTAGCTACCCCCCATCTAGCTGTAGCTAGCTGCAGCTAACCATATAGGTAGGTAAAACAAGCAAGCGAGGTAGCTCGATAGCTAGCTAGCTTGCTAATTAGCTAGCTGTAGCTAGCTGTATCTAGCTGTAGTTAGGTGCAGCTAGCAGCATGTAGCTGCATCTAGCCGTAACTAGCTGCATCTAACTGCATCCAGCAGTAGCTAGCTGCATCTAGCTGTACCCAGGTATAGCTGGCTACAGCTAGCTGTAGCTAGCTATAGCTAGCTGTAGCTAGCTACAAGACACTGACCTTGGGGTCAACATCAACAAGAAGAAAGAAAGGGTTTGGGCAGTGCGAACGAAATATCTCGTGGATTTGCAAATCTTGAATTTTTACATCGCGCCCCGTGCTGTACCAACCCAATATCCTCTCCAAAGTATTCACCTAATAACAGCAGCAGCAGCAGCAGCAGCAGCAGCAGCAGCAGCAGAGGAGGAAGAGAAGGAGGAGGAGAGGAGAAAGCAGCAGCACATGCAGCAGCAAATCCAGCAATGGAAGCAGCAAAGAAAGCAGCAACAAAAGGAGAGACAGAGAGAGAGAGAGAGCGAGAGAGCAGCAGAAGCAAATACATCAGCAGCAACAGCAGCAGCAGCAGCAGCAGCAGCAGGCAAATAAGGATGAAGCACATGGCGAGAAACCCCAAACCCTAAACCCTAAACCCTAATGAGTGTTTACTCTTTTAAACGTGCAGAAGACTTGCTGCAAGTAATCTGCATCTAAAAACCAAGCATTTGGGCCTTTGCTATCTTCTTCAAACCCTAAACCCTAAACCCTAAACCCTATTTACTTTTTTAAACATGCAGAAGAGTTGCTGCAAGTAATCTGCATCTAAAAACCAGACGTTTGGGTCTTTGCTGTCTTCTTCAAAAGGAAGAGCGAAGGAGTTTGTTGCATGCCACTCTTCTCCTATTACTTCTCCTAGTACGCATCCCACCACCCTCCGGTTCGTTCCTGCAAAAACCCTAAACCCTAAACCCTAAACCCTAAACCCTAAAACCCTAAACCCTAAACCCTTAACCCTAAACCCTAAACCCTAAACCCTAGGCATGGATTTTGGAGTCGGTAAAAAATAAAACAAACAAGGCATGCAGAAAAAAGATAAACAAACGAACGGCAAAACCAACACGGACCTATGTACTAAGATAACGAAGGGTTTAGGGTTTAGGGTTTAGGGTTTAGGTCCTCCGTACCCTTCGCTACGCGGTTGTAGTGGTCAACAACAGACAGCAGCACGATGGGATGAACCACCACCTGAGTCCACATACACCACAGAAACCGTAAACCCTAATCTCTAAACCCTAAACCCTAACCCCGCTAAACCCTAAACCCTGTACCCCAAACCCTAAACCCTACTTACCACTTTCTTTGTGAGCAGCCCCGCAACAGCGGAGTAGCTGGAAAGACAGTCCAAGGTGTCGCTTCCCGACATTCTCTCGCTGCAGCAGCAGCAACAGCAGCAGCAGCAGCAACAGCAGCCGAGGGTTTGGGGTGTATAGGCACCTCAAAATGATGCTAAGTACAGCGAGAACGCAAAGGGAAGAGGCTTACAGTATATCACTGCATGCAGCACTAGCAACAACAGCAGCAGCTGCTGCTGCTGCTGAGGATATTCGGGCGATGAAATGCGCAGAAGGAGATACAGCAAGTGCTGCAGCAGCAACTGCAGCAGCAACTGCAGCAGCTGCTGCAGCAGCGGCTGCGCGTGCAAATGCCTATACACTGCAGCAGAAGCAAACAGCTCCTGCAGCAAGAAAGAAGAGTTTGTATTCAAATATTAGAAGAGAAGTGCTGGTTTGCTGCTGCTGCTGTGGACAGGCAGCATGCAGCAGCAGCAGCAGCAGTAGCTGCAGCACTAGCAGCAGATGAAGCAGAGAAATCAGCGTTATAAGAGACGCACAGAGAAGCAGAAAGATTATTATTCTTTTACTTAAGGACAGCAGCAGCAACAGCAGCAAAACAACGGCAGCAGCAGCAGCGCAGCCGACCCTCAGCCACACAACAGGGGGGCCCAGGCTTCTGCTGCTGCTGCTGCTGCTGCTGCAGTTGTTGTTGTTGCTGCTGCTGCTAATTATATCGTGGTTTTATTCACGTAATAGAAGAGTTGTTTATGCTGCAGCAGAAATAAAATAAAATCTATAGACAGCTTCTAGTAGCTGGCGCTGTTGCTAGCCTTAGAGAGTAATACTTTGGGGCTGTTGCTGCTGCTGCTGCTGCTGCTGCTGTTCTTTTTCTAGGGTTTTTTGCAGTAGTTGTGGTTTTGAGCTATGTCATGTGCTGCTGCCACCGAAGCGCATGCATTAGCTGCTGCAGCACTAACAGCAGTGACATTACGGCGGCGGCAGCAGCAGCAGCGACAGCAGCAGCAGCAGCAGCAGCAGCAGCGACACACAATGGGTTGCTGTGTGTGTCTTGCTGCATTCTCATAAACGCCGGGCCTTTCAGGATATCAACTAGTTGCTGCACCAATGAATGCGTGTCTAGGGTTTACGCTTGAAGGTTTAGGGTTTTTGGATTAGGGTTTAGGGTTTAGGGTTTAGGGTATCCCTTGAGGTGTACATACACCTGAATAGAGATGCTACAGGCCTCTTCTTTGCGCGGCGCTTTGAGCGGCGCAGCACCCGAAGTTGACCTCCACACTATCGTTATTGAGGTGGGATGCAGGTGAGGGTTTAGGGTTTAGGGTTTAGGGTTTAGGGTTTGGGGCATTACAGGCCGTCGGCTGATACGCTCGGTTGCTATATTTTCTGCTGTTGCTGCTGCTTCTGCTGCTTCTTCTCCCCCGCAAGCAGCAGTAGTAACGACAGCAGCAAAGGCAACAACAGCAGTAGCTTCAGTACTTGATAATCTGTTTTCGCTGCTGCTGCTGCTGCTGCTGCTGCAGCGAGGTGCGTGTGGGGTTTTCAGGGTCTCTGCATGCTGCATGCCGACTGCCGGCTTTTATTTCTCGCGTGCCGCAGGTGAATGGATTCAAGGTAAACCCTAAACCCTAAACCCTAAACCCTTTTGCTGCTGATGGTTTGCTTATTCCTAAACAGGTCAGAGTGAGGGATATGACTCCAGTGTTTATGTTTTAGGGTTTAGGGTTTAGGGTTTTTGAGGGTTGCTTTGCTGCAGACTGTTTTTGGCTGGGAGGCATTCGACAGCAACAGCAGCAGCAGCAGCAGCTACTGCCCGGTGTTTGCTGCTCATCCGGCACATGCTGCAAGCAGCAGCAGTTCTGCAGATTTGCTGCTGCTTGTCCTTGACGAGGCGCTTGACCGAGTAAGGGTTTAGGGTTTAGGGTTTAGGGTTTAGGGTTTAGGGTTTTAGGGTTTTAGGGCTCAGAGATACGGAAGCGTTTTCGCTGTGGTCTGCAGGCGTTAAGGGATGCGGCCTACGTCAGCAGCAGCAGCAACGGCAGCAGCAGCAGCGGCAGCAGCAGCAGCTTGTGCTCCAGCGACTGCAACTTGCTGCTGCTCTTAGCACTCCCTGGGGAGCCCCAAGTCGTCGCTCTGCTTCTCCGCTGGGCCTTTGAGCAGCGGCGATTCCAGAGTAGGGTTTAGGGTTTAGGGTTTAGGGTTTGGGGTTTAGGGTTTAGGGTTTAGGGATTAGAAATCGATCGAGCAGAGCATGACTATTTTTCTTACCGTTGCAGCCGATGGATGGCTGCAGTCTGAACCAACAGTTTGCTCAATCGAGGGTTTAGGGTTTAGGGTTTAGGGTTTAGGGTTTGTGTCAGGGGTAAAATTGATGGCGAGCGAACGGATGGCGCTTTACTCGCATCTGCCGGTGCTTCCAGGACTTTGCTCTCAACAAGGTGGGTAAACCCTAAACCCTAAACCCTAAACCCTAAACCCTCGCCTCAAACCCTAGCGCTAAGCCCGCCAGCTTTGCTTGCTTCTCTCGCAAATCCAAAACCCTAAACCCTAACTGGAAGTTGGGGTTTAGGGTTAGGGTTTGTTCTCCCTCACGAGCTTCTGCCTTTCGCCTTGCTAACCTGCTGAGGGTTTAGGGTTTAGGGTTTGGGGTTTAGTGGTTGGGGGGACTTCGGTTTTAGAGTTTAGGGTTTAGGGTTTTGTGCTGGTGGGTGTAGCGCTAGGGTAAAAGGCGAGGGTTTAGGGTTTAGGGTTTTGCAGTTCTTCTTGTCACACGGCTGAGAGTTTATTGTTACGGGTATGCATGCGCTCGAATTTAGGGTTTAGGGTTTAGTCTTTAGGGTTTAGGGTTTAGGGTTTAGGGTTTAGGTGTGTTTGCAGGCGCGCTTGTTGTTGATGTCGGGGAGAGTGGTTTCCGGGTGTCTCCACTTGAGGGTTTGTCTCTGTCTCCTGTCTCTTTTTGCTGCGCTTCAACGCGCAGCGGCGGCAGTCTGCTTTCGCAGCTGCTGCTGCTGCACCTCAGGAAGCAGCAACCTGCTGCTGCTGCTGCTGCACCTGCTTCTGCAGCTGCTGCTTCTGTTGCTGATGCTGCGGAGGAGGAGGGGGATGGTGAGCCTCAAGAAGACAGCCACGAGGTAGAGAAGCAAGATGTGCAACAACAGCAGCAGCAGCAGCAACAACAACAGCAGCATGAAGCAGCAGCAGCAGCAGCAGCAACAACAGCAGCAGCAGCGCATGCACTTGGCGCTGGGGCAGGGCGGTGGGGTCCTGACTCAATGGATTGGAGAGATTTAACTCGATATAAAGAAACTCAGTGCTATGTCAGGTGCCAATTAGGGTTTAGGGTTTAGGGTTTAGGGTTTGGGGTTTGGGATTTATTATTGTTCAGCCTGGGCTTGCGTTGTGTAAATCCCCAACCGATGCGATCTTCTCCTTCAGTTTAGGGTTTAGGGTTTAGAATTGAGGGATTAGCGTCACGGTTTAGGGTTTAGGGTTTAGGGCTTACTGTGTATGGTTTACGATTTAGGGTTTAGGGTTTAGTGTTTGCGTGTACGTTTGCAGTCTGGATCCTGCCCTGGATTTGCACCTCCACCGAAACCACCGGCAGCTGAAGCCACTGTTTACGTGCAGCGAGTAAACCCTAAACCCTAAACCCTAAACCGTCATTGTGGGTGTCTTTTTCTACTTCTCAGCCTTAAGCCGTGAGGAGTCTCTTGGGTGCTTTGAATATTCTTCTGTTGCTGAATTAAGTGTTCAGGGTTTAGGGTTTAGTATTTAGGGTTTAGGGTTTAGGGTTTAGGGTTTGTGGTTGCAGCGGATCAGTCGTGCAGCCCTGGTCAGAGACATTTTTAATTCCGGAGGTTTTATTTTCACCTCAGCTTCTTCCTGATGCAAACTTGGCGGCGATTGCGCCTGGCATGGACGTAAACCCTAAACCCTAAACCCTAAACCCTAAACCCTAAACCCTAATTCTCCCCAGACTCCTCCCCCCCATAACTAAGCCAAACCCTGCTCTGGAGCTCGTTTGCTGAAGCTTAAAAACAACAACCGCATTCTCTCTCAGGCTGCTGTCTTAGGGTTTAGGGTTTAGGGTTTAGGGTTTGTTTGCAGCACAGCAGCATCAGCGAAATAGTGCTGCAGTGTTTTAGGAGGTCTTCTGTTTGTGAGAGAGAGGGCTGGCTTAAAAATATTTGTCTTGTTGGCGGCACCGCCCAGCTCCCTAACTTTGCACAAAGGTAAACCCTAAACCCTAAACCCTAAACCCTAAACCCGCAGTCCCATAGTATTTCTCTTGTTGGCGGCAACGCCCAGCTCCCCAACTTCGCTCAACCCTAAACCCTAAACCCTAAACCCGAAGCCATAAACCCTAAACCCTAAAGCCTAAAGCGTATTAACCCTAAACCCTAAACCCTGCTGTGAGTGAAGAAACCCTAAGCCTTACTTGCAAACCCTAACCCTGAAGGTTAAGACCTAAACCTTATGCAGGCAAACCCTAAACCCTAAAACACAAAACACTACCCCTAAACCCTAAATCCTAAACCCTAAATCCATCCTCAAGCTCCTCCAGATATGCAACCCTTAAGTAAACATAGGCAGCGTGGAGGAGCCCTCAGCTGCTCAGCAGGAATCCTAAACCCTAGCTGTAAACCCTAAACCCTAGTCGTAAACCCTAAACCCTAAACCCTAAACCCTCGATTGTGCTGCAGGTTGGAGATGGATTTGCTGCAGTCCTGGCGCGAATCGGCTGGGGCGTATTACAATGTGAAGGACACCATACAGTAAGTAGAAACCCTAAACCCTAAACCCTTGTTCAATCCCCTAAACCGTCAGCCCCTCAAACCCTCATCCTCTCAAACCCCATTAGTCCTCTAAACCCTAAATCTAACGCGTACATCGGTTCCTTCACACTCATTACTTCGCTGCTGCTGCTGCTGTTGCTGCTGCTGCTGTTGCCGCTGCTGTTGCTGCTGCAGGGTGAATGTGCTACCATGCGAAGACCGCCAGTTGGCTGCATTTCGGGGCGCCTTGCTCTTTGGTGTGTCTTTGAATTAGGGTTTAGGGTTTAGGGTTTAGGGTTTGCGCCACAAGGCTTAGGGTTCGCGGGTTAGCTCTTAAGATTGACTGTTGGGGGTGGCAGCGCAGTCTTGGGCTTGAACTGTAGGGTTTAGGGTTTAGCGTTAACCGATTCAGGACTTAGGGTTTAGGGTTTAGGGTTTAGGGTTTAGGGTTTGTGGTTTAGGGTTGGTTGCCCGTCAAGAGCCCGAGGCATGGCTAAGCCGTCAGCTGTTTGAAAGGACAGAGCGGCTTGAAAAGACTGCAAGACATATGGCGCTTCATGGTTAGCTACCTAGACAGCTAGCTAGCTAGCTAGCTAGCTGGCTAGCTGGCTAGCTGGCTACACAGGTAGCTAGCTAGACACCTGGCTACCTAGATAACTGGCTCGTTAGCCAGCTACATAGCTAGACAGGTAGCTAGCTAGCCAGCTAGCTGGCTAGACAACTGGCTAGCTAGGCAGATAGCTAGCTAGCTAGGCAGCTAGCTAGCTAGCAAGCAAACTGGCTAGCCAGTGTGGTGCTTGTATGGGCCTTCATCTTTTCTTGTGTGTAGGCAGCCACCAGGCTAGCTAGCTAACCAAATTGCTAGCTAGCTAGCCAACAGGCTAGTTGGCTAGCCAAGTGGCTAGCTAGCTACATAACCGAATGGCTAGCTAGCTAAGCAAATGACTGGCTAGCTAGCCGCAAAGCTAGCTAGCTAGCTAACTAACTGGCTAGCTAGCTTGTCAACAAGCTAGTTAGCCAACAAGCTAGCTAGCGACCGCGCAGGTGTGCAGCTAGCAGGCGAGTTCGCCGGTTGTCTGGCTGCGCACTTAGCTAGCTAGATTAGGGATGTGCTGCAGCTCAGCTAGCCAAATAGCTAGCTAGCTAGCTAGCTATCTAGCTAGCTGGCTAATTTAAGGGTAGCGGGATGCTCAGCTGGCTCTCTGACAGAGCCTAACGCCGGTTTGTTTCAAATGCAAGATTGCTGTTGCCGAGAGCTCTGCTGCTGCTGCTGTTGCTGCTGCTGCTGCTACTGCTGAACGTTACTGCTGCAGCTGCAGCAGCAACGACGCGTGAAAACAAAACGAATATTTGCTGCGTGAAAAGGACAGCTGCAGTTCCTGCTGCAGCAACAGTTGTAGCAGCAATAGCGGGTGCAGCAGCAGCAACGGCAAACATCCTAGGCTTTAGGGTTTAGGGTTTAGGGTTTAGGGTTTGCTGTTCTGAGCTGCGCACGGCGCAGCAGCAGCAGCGCGTTATGCCCATCTGCTGCTAGCAGCAGAAGGCTTCTTAGTTGGACGATTGCTGCTGCTGCTTGTTTGCTGTTTCTTCTCTGGCTGCTGCTGCTGCTGCGCTGCAGCAGCAGCAGCAACTCAAGAGCGTGCTGCAGCGTGAGCCGACTGCAGCAGTGAATCGGAAACAAATTCATCCACAGCATTTTGCTGCTGCTGCAAGGCAGGTGTACATACACCTCAGATATCTGCCTAAAGAACCTCTCTTCAAAGGGAAGCAGAAGGCTGCTGCTGCGCCGTCGCTGCTGCTGCTGCTGCTGCTGTTGGCTTTGCTCTAGGCGCTGCTGCAGCAGCATCTCGTCGTGGCCCTCTACGCGTTGGTAGAAGGCAGCAGCAGCAGCAGCGGTAGCAGCAGCAGCAGCAGCAGCAGCAGGTACATCCATGATGCGGGCCCAGATATCCTCTTTGCACTGCAGCACAGGAGCAGCAGCATGACAGCGAGATAAGCCAGCAGCAACTCTGCTGCTGCTGCTGTCTCCTGCTGCTTCTGCTGCTAGAAGCTGCGCCTTTGCCAATCCCCAAAGCCTTTGCTGCGCTGCTGCTGCTGCCTTTGCTGCTGCTGCTGTTTTTACTGCTGCTGCTGCAGGTGACGGCGCTCCCTCAGCTGGAGTTGCTGCTTTAGCAGCCTCGTTTTCACCTGTTGCTGCTGCTGCTGCTGCCTTTGCTGTTGCTGCGGCTGTTGTTGCTGTTTTTACTGCTGCAGTTAATAGCCGCTCGGGCGCAGCACAAAGCCTTTCTAAAAGGAGCCATCGCTGCTGCTGCAGCAGCAGCGGGAACTGCTGCAGCTGCAGCAGCACACAGCAGCAGCAGCAGCAGCTGAGGTCGCCAGGGCGCGCTGCGTTCTTTAAACCGCATGTTGATCCATCATCACCTGTTGCTGCAGCAGGTGATGCTGCAGCTGCAGCAGGTGATGCTGCTGCAGCTGCAGCAGGTGATGCTGCTGCTGCTGCAGCAGGTGATGCTCCTGCTGCTGCTACAGGTGATCCTGCTGCTGCTGCAGCAGGCGATGCTGCTGCTGCTGCTGTCGAAGCAGGTGATGCTGCTGCAGTAGGTGCAGCAGCAGCAGCAGCAGCACGTCCCCTGCCGCATGCAAAACGAAGGAGCCGAGCAGTGTACGGACAAAGAGCAACCCCACAAAAGCGCGGCGTTGCTGCTGCTGTTGCAGCTGCTGTTGCAGCTGCTTGTGTCGGTGTCGCTGTTGTTGTTGCTGCTGCTGCTGCTGCAGCGCAACACGGCAGAGTTGGTTGCTGCAGCTGAAGCAAACAAGGCCAACGACCCCGTCTGCTGCTGCAGCAACAGCTGCCTGCAGCTGCAGCAGCAGAGGGAGAAGCAGCACTTCCTCTGCTGAGAGCACTGAACTGCTGCAGCAGCAACGGCTGCAGTAGCAGCAAATGCAGCAGCAGCAAAATATGATTAACAGACACCGCAAGAGTTACAGCTGCATGCAACCAAGATACCCGCAAAGGGGCCCGCGCTTCTTCTCTGCTGCTGCTGCTGCTGCTGCTGTGTTTGTTGTTGCTGCTGCTGCTGTTGCTGCTAAGGGGTCTGCGGCGTTGGACTCGCTTCTGCTGCTGCTGCTGCTGCTGCTGCGAAGCAGCAGAATTCTCCAGAGCCACTTCTAAAACGTTTGCAGCGACCTTGCGGAATACCGCAGCTGTGCACACCACCACCCAAACCCTAAACCCTAAACCCTATCTAAACCCTAAACTCTAAACCCTATCGAAGTCCTAAACCCTAAACCCTAAATTCTGTGCCCCAACCACTAATCCCCAATTGATAAAAGGAGAGTAGATGTAGCGGATGTTAAAGAGCTTGTCTGAGGCTGAAGTCTGAGAGGGTTTGGTCTAGGGTTTAGGGTCTAGGGTTTAGGGTCTAGGGTTTAGGGTTTACTCGGCATTAGGTGGAAAATGAGTTTGGCGACAGAACGAAGGCCAAACCACAAAACCCACGGATCGGCTTCGCGTTGGAGTGCATGCACCATCTGGTCGTAAACCCTAAACCCTAAACCCTAAACCCTAAACCCTAAACTCTAAACGCTAAACCCTAAACCCTAGCCCCAAGATTATGCCTTCGCGGCGGGCTTGCATATGCTTGAGCATCGAAGACTGCTGCACATAGGAAATTACAGTGTAGAGTCTACGGTTTAGGGTTTAGGATTTAGGGTTTAGGGTTTACAAGGTCTACGATGGATTCGACGGCAATTTGTCCCTGGGTCGCCTTCCTCATCGCTGCTGCCAGCAGCAGCAGCCGTTGCATGCGGCTCCGCAGCTGCTGCTGCTGCTGCTGCTGCAGCAAAAACATCAGTCCATCCCTCTCCATGTACGGCTGCAAATACCTGCATACGCAGCAACAGCAGCAGCAGCAGCAGCAGCAGTAGCAGCAGCACAGCAACAGCAGCACCAGCAACAACAATCGAAGCAGGAGCAGTACAGCTCCAGCTGCATCTGCATTGGCTACCAAAGCCTAGAAATTAGGGTCTAGGGTTTAGGGTTTAGGGTTTAGGGTTTAGGGTTTACGCTGCATCATCGGAGTTAACTATGAGGGCCAAAGGAAGGGTATGCCCGTCTAAACCCTCAACAGCAGTTGCCTGTCCAGCAAACCCGCAGCAAATCTTCTTCTCTATCAAACCTGCAGCAGCAGCAGCAGCAGCACAAGAAGCAGCAGCAGCAACAACAATAGAGCCGCGCAAGCAGGAGCAGCAACGACACCAGCGAAAGCTGAATAAGCAATAAATACAGCAGCAGCAGCAGCAAAGCTGCACAACCAGTGTGCAACAACAGCAGCAGCAGCAACAACAACAGCAGCAGCAGCAACGGCAGCAGCGTTAGTATCAGCAGCAACAATAACAGCCGCAGCATCAAAGCTTTCGGGCGGCGCAGCAGCGGAATGCGGGTTTATGGTTTAGGGTTTAGGGTTTAGGGTTTAGGGTTTACGGGAGCTTGGGTCTGCATAGAAAGCAGATATCTGTATTGCTGCGAGGCTCTGGAGTTTGTGAATTTGCTTCGGCCTGCTGCAGAAGTCAGCAGCAGCAGCAGCAGCTACTGCTGCTGCTCTTGCTGTCGCTGCACTTGTTGCTGGCGCTGCTGCAGCATCATACTGAAGCAAGTATAGCGAAGCGAGACATAGGCCCTTGCTGCTGCTGCTGCTGCTGCTGCTGCTGCAGTCTGTAGAATACATCGAAACCTGGATAATGCCACGCATGCGCCCGTTTCATAGGGTCTTGTGTTTAGGGTTTAGGGTTTAGGGTTTAGGGTTTAGGGTCAAGGGTTTAGGGTTTAGGGTTTACTCTAATACCACCTCTTGCAGGTGATGGGGTGTTCGCTTCTGCGCACATTTTGCTGGTTTGGCGTTAACACGCGAGGGTTTAGGGTTTAGGGTTTAGGGTTTACAGTATTAGGTTCTATAGTTTAACTTCTAGGGTTTAGGGTTTAGGGTTTAGGGTTTAGGGTTTAGGGTTTACGGGCTTCAGTACAGAAACGCCAGCGGAACCCCACCAACTCCTGATGGTTCGCCAAGCAGCAGCAGCTTCCCCTCGGAGATACTGCTGCTGCTTCTGCTGCTGCTGCTGCTGCTGCTGGTGCGCATGCTGCTGCTGTTTCTGCTGCTGTTGTTGGTGCTGGTGCTGCTGCTGCTCTGCAGCAACAGCAGCAAGACAGTGCTCCAGCAGCACGCGAACGCAAGGCGAAGCAGCATGACGTAG